GCACGAATTTTCTCGTTGAATAATTTCGTTCGCGTGAATTTACATAAAAAATAATTTCGTTCGCACGAATTTTCATAAAGGATAATTTCGTACGCTCGAATTTTCATAAAGAATAATTTCATGCGCACGGATTTTCATAAAGAATAATTTCGTGCGCACGAATTTTCATAAAGAATAATTTCGTGCGCACGGATTTTCATAAAGAATAATTTCATTCGCACGAATTTTCATAAAGAATAATTTCGTAGGCACGGATTTTCATAAAGAATAATTTCGTTCGCACGAATTTTCATAAAGAATAATTTCGTTCGCAGGAATGTTCATAGAAAAATATTTTTTCTTCCCAGGGATTTCCTGCATATCGGTGATGATTATTGTACCGTGAGGAGCTGCCACTTGCCCCGAATTTGGATATCTCGGTGAAATTGGAGTTGGGGGGTCGGGATTTGTCGAGGGATCGAGAAGCGCGTCAAAGTCAAGGCTTTGTCGGAGCCAGATATCCCGTTTCACGGTGAGACTCCCAGAGATGCAAATGTCGGGAGAAGAGTCGAAATTAGCCAGCATCCGACTCGGCGCAAAGCCTTTAATCTATGGTGGAATCCTGAAAATCGGGCAAGTTGAGTCGTAACTTCCGGATGTTAAGTATCCCAGACTTGGCTCCTCTTCCGGGAGGATGAGGCCCCATGAACTGTATACACCGAGTTAACTTCCCCTGCTTAAGGCGACGTGAAAGTGGCGTCAAAGAGGTCTCGTTTATGAAACTTTCCTCCAAACTGGATATACCGAATCGATTACAATATAAATCCGGAAGGTATAAGAAATATCCCGAAACTCATGAAATTTCAAATTTTTTAAATTTTTTCATACAAATTTTAAAAATTTCATATGAAAAGGAATGAAATTTCATGAGTGTCGGGACCTTCCTTGTATCCTCCACATTCGCGTCGTAAAGTTTCAAATGATTCGGCGCACCTAGTTCCGAGAAAAGTGTTATAAATAGTTTCATATGTGCCGATAATTATGAAAGTGGTCTAAGTCAAAATTAAAAAAAAAAAAATGAGTTTATCAGTTATTTCACGCCATATTATTTCAAACGAAATTAATTCAATGTAATTTCGAAACAAAAAATATATGACTTAGACCACTTTCATAATTATGGGCACATATGTATATATTGGGTTGGCAAGTGAATAATTGCGGATTTCGCCCATGGATGGTATTAAAAAATCCGCAACCTCTTAGTTGCCAACCCAATAGAACCCTTTTATACGATCTTAAGAGTGTCACCAGGATTCCGGCAGTCGGGAGGAAATAGCCGTGATAACCTGGTCGAGTTGCTAGGGCCTCCAGGTGATTTAATTAGCGACTCCGTCCGCGACCTCCTTCCCCCTCGCCGGCGCGAGACGGTCTGCGCGCCTTTTGAGTCGGCCCCCGTATTTAAGCCTGTTTACACAAGGTGGCGCGAGGTCCGCGCCCCCACCCCCCACCTGCGCGCGCCCCTTGCGTGCCGGCTTAATTACATGCTCGAGAAACGAATGGCTCGGCTTTAGCACGCCATTCATGGAAATTCTCTTATCGTATAAACGCCAATTACGGCTGACACGTTCCTGACGTATAGACGAGGGTCGTCGGCACGAAGGGACGCGACATTATCCGAAGACGCGAGAATTCCCTCTTTCGCGTTTTTTAAAGAATCCAATATGGCGGAGATAATATATTTCACGTGAAAGATTCATGTTTGATACTATTGCGTTTTTCAGGGGTAAATGAGAGCGATGGTGTAAATTATCGACACTTTCAGATATATATATGTGGATTCAAAATGGCGGCCGGGTCGTTTGGCGATGTTATACTTGACGATGGTAATTTTCATTAATATACGAGGGTAATACTGGAATAAATCATCACTTTGATATGCTGAAAATGACCGACAGGACTTTATAATATTCCCTGGCAGATGTATATTCATTACGTCAACAGCACGTTACGGTGTAAATTATCGACACTTTCAGATATACATCTGTGGATTCAAAATGGCGGCCGGGTCGTTTGGCGATGTTATACTTGACGATGGTAATTTTCATTGATATACGAGGGTAATACTGGAATAAATCATCACTTTGATATGCTAAAAATGACCGACAGGACTTTATAATATTCCCTGGCGAGTATTAATCCCTGGCAGATGCATATTCATTATGTCAACGGTACGTTGCGGTGCGAAACGCATAGATTGCGTCTTATCGCGAGGTTTTCGGGGCTGTCGATGAGGTAGGTTTCATTATTCAACGCGATACGATAAAATGTAATGACGAATTTTACGGCCATAGGAGCCGAACGAGAGCCAAATGGGAGAGCTTTGCCGGCGTCGTTTCGGCAGATTAATAACGAGATAAAAGAGCAACTCGGGCACGCGTGCCGCACGAGTTTGCGTGTTTCGAGGGCGGTTCCGACGTGTTTGGGACTGTACACGCGAAAGCGTAAACACGGTTGGTCGATGCGGTTGCCCTAAATTATGCCACCAGCCCTAGGGACCACCATGGACCCGCCATGGATGTCCCACCGACGCCATTGCACCACCACACCGTGGACTTTTAATGACTCCTCGCATCACTGGGAACGATACGCCGAATTACACCTCCAGAGACAAATCCCTATTGTGTCTCAATGTTATCGAGAACTCTGGGAATTTAAACCCTTTCGCTCCCGACTAAACTCGATACCTAATATTGAACTCGCGCCAAAATGGAGGTCGCTCTAATGGAAAGTGGGATTCGCTCTAACGGAAATTGTAACTCGCTCTAACGGAATGTGCAACTCGATCTGGCAGAAAGTGAAACTCGGTCCAACGGAAAGTGGGATTCGCTCTAACGGAAAGTAGGACTCTCTCTACTGGAAAGTGGGATGCGCTCTAACGGAAAGTATAGCTCGCTCCAACGGAAAGTATAACCCGCTCTAACGGAAAGTGGAACCCTACAAGCGGAGGTCGCAGCGACTTAACCCGCCGCATAATACTCGACATACGTTACGTATGTACATATCCGCGTGTAGACCGGTGTCGTGTACATGCATAAACAGTGACCCCTTTGCTCGAGTTCACTTGCACACGGGAATGGAGAAACTTGTATCCACGTAAATCCGGGGAAACGTGTGCCATGTTGGTGCACGGTACACAAGCTGAGCCCTCGACGGCTGCCTCGTCCTTCGCGGTAGTTCGTAACTTTGCCAATTTCTATGTAGCAACCCGCCCGTAAATTCGCGACCTCCCGTAACCGGGATAACGGGGATGATACTGTGTCCTGAAGGAGAGACCAGGGATATATACGCGGAATATATGTACGATATACGTACACTCAACGCCGTGTCCCGAAACTATGTAAACCCGCGAGAAGACCTGTGGAGCATCTTCGTGGGTCTCCGCTTCCCGCGCGGAAAACTAATTACGCCCGTCTGGAAAATTCGAACTTTCGAGGCTTTTTTTCTCTCTCTTTGCCATAAACGCGTCGGCGTTTCTCGCCCTCCCTACGTTTTTTTTTTTTTTCTTTGGAAATCTCCCCCGTAGCAAGGGAGATTAATGCACTCTGCGAGAAACTTACGCCATTTTCTTTCGCTTCGCGACGCACTTATTGGAAATGATATCAATATGATATGGTGTCTACGGTAATTTTATCACGTCTTGTTTTTATATTTTATGAACATACTTTATATGTTTACCGTTTATGTCGCAGAGGTGTATAAAGTCTCTCACATCTCGTCATTCGACACGGAATTTCATGTCGAGCAGTTTCACGCGAGGTATCTCACATTTTCACCATGGTGAAAATGACAGAATGCGGAAGGTGCTCACTTTTCACATGTTCACTAGATCTGAGTTATGGAATCGACCCCCAGGACACTACGACACGGCGTTACGAAACTCTAGCTGTATTTAGACGTTCGTAATTCACTTTTGGGACATCTAAACCAAAATGTACCTCCTCGGAGATTCGCGATAATCGGATGCACGGAGGGAAAGAAATTGTAATTGAATTTCGGGGGTCAATTCGGTCCCCTCCCAGGGGACGCTCTTCGCGGGGGTGCAGCAAGAGGCGACGAGGGGTGCACCAGACAAATATTTGAAAATCAATGACCCGCCATTCACCTATGGGGTGACTAAAACGCCCCTCGGCCTGTCGACGGCGTTACCGCGAGAGTAACGGAGGGTAATTCAATTAGAAGGAAACGACGGAGGCAGCCCCTTTTAGAGCGGCCATTTAAGCCCCCAATTTGACGCCGTCGGGTTCCTTCTTGTCATTTTCAGCCCCCGAGATATCGAAAGTGTCGTCCGAGATGTTCGAAGGCTGGAAAAAGAACCCCCGTCGACGTAACAAACCACCATGGACAGGGAAAAACGTCGAAAACGTAAAACCGAGAAGAAAGCAAGATGGCGGCGAAGGCACCCCGCTCACATATTTCGTAAATTCGCACTGGTAAAATTGCTAAATTAAATTAATAAAACCATAGAACCATTCCGTTAATTCAATGAATAATTGCTTTCAAGAAATACAGATTCAGATTTGAAGCCCGAATAATTGAAATATACGAAAATTTATACGGTGAAGTGTACGATGATTTTTTCCACCCGATTGTATCAATTAGTCCGTATTGCAGGCGGTAATTCCACGTTCTCGGGTATTGTCCTAGGTGCGCAGTGTACACAAATTATAAATTCCACGGTTACCTATCAGGGCCCACCCCTAAAGTCAATTACCTCCCTAGATCACGTGTAATTAGGAATGATAATAGGATGCAAGGGGCTCCAATTTCACGCAACCCATACCCCGTTGCATAGATCAGGTGTGCACGTACATACAATAAGGATTATAGACACTGTACATCAGGTACATGGTCTTCTGCAATTAGAAACTAGAAACTACACAATTAGTATAAACCCACGGGTTGAAATTAAAAAAAATCGGATTTTTATTTTAATTCCCAATTCAAAGCAAAAGTGCACCTACCATGACGAGTCGTCTTCACTTGCAAAAATCCTTCGCTTTGTATGGAGTCCTTGCCATTTCTCGCCCGACATGTATAAAATCCCATGTCGTTGACATCCAGTCTGACGATTTTTAATCTACTTCCCAAGACACTCCTCCTCGGGTGAGCCCTCGCCTGGAATAATTATTTTCATTAACTTTAGGGTCTTAATTATTTTCTAATAATTTTCTACGGTTCACCTGGAGGGTCCTGAATTTTTTTCCTCGTCCTTACCTGGGGGTACACCTTCTTCGTCACGATTCTTCCTGGTTCTTTTCCAAGGGGTGCATCATTCTTGAACCACCTGATTTTCGATGGCAATGGATCCCCTGTGACCTCACACCTCATATGCACCGCACTTCCGGTTTCCTTTGTCATATTTGACAGTCCTTTCAACAATTCTAAGGAACCTCCTTTGGGACTGGATGAACTGTCCACGTCGAATCTGCGAAAATTAAAAAGAGACGCATTTTAAACTGCGTTTAATTTACGTGAGAATATTAATATTCCACAAAAATTTAATTTTTTATTCCTGCTGCTTAGGTTCATCGACACTTTTGACGATGTTAACAATTTTCCTAGGGACGTAGGGAATTTTTTAGTCACCCTGTAGAAGGCTAAGAACCTCTATCCAGGAAATGCAACGGATAAAAGGTGCATTGCGGTGCACTTCGTTTTTCAGATTCATCAGGTTACAGTCTTACGGCACATTCGCGGTTTTCGAGGGGAAATAAAAGTCGAAGAAAAATGAGAAAGAACTTAAAAAGGCGGATATCGTTCGTGCAATCTGAGAGCCCATTAAGGGGCTCGGAAAATCGCTCCTCGCTCTAAATAAATGCAGTGTAAAGAAAATGCAATTTCGCGGCACTTCTCTTAGACATAATTTTTCTTAAATTTCTTGTAAGTTCAATTGAAATTTGTTACATATTTTTATAACACTACACGCGTTTATACATTTCGATTGACTCCTCAGTTGCCACTTTCATATCACCTTAACTCTTTGGCTACTAAGAGCGCCCGACGTTTGGTCCAATATTGCCCGCACGGTCAGAGGAATTTCGCCCATATGTCGAAATAGCGAAAAGCTTGAGGATATTGATAAAACTTATCTCCAAACCGAGTGCACCGATTTATTCGAAACTTTAACACGTTATTATGTAGGCCCAAAGGTGAAATTTCAGTTTTCGTCAAAAAAATGTCCGAGATGAATAAACATTTTTTTTTTTTTTTTTAGAAAAATGAAATTTCACCTCAGGGTCCCCATAATTTTGCGATAAAGTTTCAAATGATGCGGTGCACCCAATTTGGAGAGAAGTTTTATCAATATTTCGACTTTTTGGCGTGTATATATGACACTTTCATGTCACCTGAAATAGGCGAAATTTATATCGATAAATTCTCCAGTGGAGTCTGTTAGACGACTAATCGAATGATCTATTTCTGGTGGGAATCGGGATTTGTAGGTCCAGAATCTGCCTCTTCGGTCATCTGCATCTGGCTCTCGTCCTGAGGGTGCAATCAATGCGTTTACACGGGATGCAACGTATGCAACGGCCCTTAAACACGGGACGCATACTGTGTCTACAGTGCAACCCTGATTGCACATTACAGGAGTAACTAGCCCTGCATTTACTGCCGGTTATTGAATATAAATCAAGGCTAGATCGGTAAGTTATCGCGCGGCGAAATTCCGCCTCGAGGAGGTCGAATAAATAGTGCAATTTCCCCTAGAGGCAAATTTACCGGAAATTAATTTAACCATTCTGGGATTAATATTTTAAACACAGAAATGAACGTCGTAAGTGTGAACCATGTATATGTTAAATTGATATCATGTACATATTAAATTTATGACGCTCATTTTTATATTTCAGATCGATGTATCGTCTATCTTTCCGACTTTCGATTTTTTTTTTTCTTTCTCTTTCTATCGTTGCATTATCAGGATATGCGATACTATCGAATGGCCGCGTCGACGGAACTTCATGAATGAGTGTGACGGTGTTAAGCGTTATCTACGGGGTGTCGAGAGTTTATCGCACGTTTCGCGGGATTTCTTCCTCGTGACCGCGCATAATTAAACACCCGGGAATTAATTACCCCCTGCAATCGGATGGAAACCTGGTAGATTGATTTTTAACACCTAGACATAAATAAATCCCAGCCTCGTCGGATATAAATTTTTTATTATTATTTCCATGACATTTTTTTCATTCATTTCTCCGACAGAATAATTCACATCGAACCCTTAATTAATTAAAAAGAGATTTATATATCGTGGCTTGAATATAAGCGCAGAAAACAATTTGCTCAAGAAGAAAAATTCGTTGATTTTAAATCGACGTTTGGTCCAATATTGCCTGCACGGTCATAGGAATTTCGCCCATATGTCGAAAAGGCTCCGTGTTCAAAGGGTCGATGTATTATTTTTCGCAGGATTTTGTTGTCGTAATTCACTGAGGGAATTTTTCTTCCGAGTGAATAAATTAATTTGCAATGTAAAGGGAGGGACGAAAGGGATACCCTATAGACCCTGAAGTCGACAGATAAGAGCCTCTCTCTGATAACGGCATTACACGTCACTTCCTCTCCGGCATTGCAAATAATCCCACAGAGTAGCAACCGGAAGACCGGCTTAACAGAGATTAGGCGTTTCTAAGACCTCCCTCGAATTAATAATTCATCGACCGTCTGGGGATTGCATATCGATGACGAGCGCACTTATCTACGTAAACCGTCGAGATGCAAATGAGCCGAACAGAATTATCTCCCTAATTGCGTCCCTTGGAAGAGATTCAATAATCAGGGAAATTTTCTAATTTTACAAAAAATTGTCTACTGTCAAGCTTACCGTGATATGAAAGTGTATATACGTTCCAAAAAGTGAAAATATTGATAAAACTTTCCTCCAAATTGGGAGTACCGAATCATTAGAAACTGCATCACGAGATTGCAAAGGCCCAAAGAAAAAACGCGATGCTCGTGAAATGTCATTTTTTGAAAAGAAATTTCGGATAATTCAAGGCACCCAATTTGGAGAATAATTTTATCAATATTTTCATATTTTAATAAATATATGAAATGATCCTTCCGTATCTACTTTGAATATACGAAGCACATCAATGCCTGATAATTCCTTATAAATCGAGACAAAAAGGAAATATCGTGGGATAAATAAATTTTGTAAAAAGTCCCGGGGGTGCCTGGGGGAACTGGGAAAATTTTAAACGACCCGGGAACGAGGAAAATCCCCGGGAAATAAATGTTGAAAAGTCTCGGGGGGTAGCACTCGGTAGACGATCGGGGACTTTAAGCGAGAAGCTCGAGCCAACGAAAGCTCGCATCAATATTAATGGGCAGCGATGCATTCGGGGGGTGAATAATGCATAACTGGTGGGACCGAAGTAGGCCCACGTTGGTCCTTTTGGGGGGAAATGCGGTTTTCCGGCGGCGTTAAACGCGAAAACCCGTGATCGGTTACGACACGCGATTTCCATGGCGCTACATTAACGCGTCGTTATGCGGTCGCATAAATTCACTGACAAATGGTCACTTACGAGGGGTGCACTTTCCGCCGGTGAAATTCGGAAAATTCGGGAAATCTGCCAAATTCCCAAAATCCACGAGGCGGCGCCTCCGCGAAAATCGATTCCCCATATCTACGATTTATGATAACCGACTATAAAAATTGAAGAAAAAAGAAAAACCGGAGAAAAGCAAAACTGCAAAATGAAAAAGCGACCCGGAAGGAAATTTGATAATTCCCGGGAAAAAAATCCCTCCAGAGGAAAACGTGAAAATGTTCCACGCTGAGAGAAAAGCAGAAACAAGGAACATTTTAATTATTCAAATTTTAATTATCCGAGTCAAATAGATATGGTCGTAGTTCCGAATAAACCTTTCGTCCAATTTATTCCAGTCCATCTGAGGGAAATAATTATTCTTTGGAAAATGTTTTCCCCAGGGCAGAAAATTCCAAATGTCGGCCGGGAATCCGTATAATTTGTATTTTCCCTTAGAGCAGAGTTTTATATTACATTACGCCCGCCGAGAAGTGCCTCGATTTCATCGGGTTTCCCTGCAATTGATAAATAAAAAAGGGCCAGATGGAAAATCAATGGACCGTCCAAAGGGAAGCCTCGAGTCGGCGTTTTGAATTCCCCAAGTGCGGCGTGGAATTTTTCCTCCTCTCTTTTCCATCTTCAAATCGAGTCCTGGAAAGACGAGGGCTTTGGAAATCGCGTTTCCGAAGGTCCGCTCAAAAACGTTCCTAAAAAAAAAGAAAAAAAAATAAAAGAAGCAAAAAGGAAAAGGAAAAAACGATCTGAATGGCGGCGGTCCAGGAAAAGAGAGCCAATATCCGATATCGGCGTCCCTCCCATACACTAAAAGAAAATGTTCATTAAACCAGAAGAAATACTCCTTCAAACGATACCAAAGAGATATACCACGTATAACAGACGTATATCGAAAAGTCAAAATATCGATGGAAATTTTCTCCAGACTGGGTGCAGAGATTAATTTGAAATTTCAACGCGTGATTGTGGAGGCCCTAAGATAAAATTTCATTTTTCATCTCAAGAAGAAAAATTTCCTTGTCGCATTTCGCGCAAAATGAAATTTCCCGAGTTTTAAAGACCTTTCTTAAAGCTTCCCCAATCACGTGGTAAAGTTAATAATTATTCGATGCGCCCAGTTTGGCGAGAAAAATTTTTTAATATTTTCACGTTTTATATATGTATATGTCAAACTCTTTTTACCAGGTCGTGGTTTAAAAACAGGAAGTGCAAGCGAAAGAATTGCCAGAGTCCGAATTAAATGTGGATTTCCTCCCCCTCCACCCCCCCCCCGGGGGGGGGAGGGGAAATTACCTCCGGAGATACTTTCCCGGTTTATATTGTACGTCGCGACTTTTAATTGGCCCCTGGCTCGAGTATCAAAATGAAATTATCGACAATGCCGGCGAAAGGCGCTCTCGAGTGGCGCCGGGCGAGGAACTTTATTTTCATTTTCTGCCTTCGTTTCTTTTTTACCTCCTTTATTTTTTTCTTTTTTTTTTAAACAAATCTAACAAATGCAAAACTCACCCGTAGGTCGTCGCGTCGATGAATTCGTTGTAATCCTCGTAAGTCCCATAATCCTGGACGTCGGCGTCGGCCTCCTCGTTTTCCCGATTGCTTCCTGAAATAAGGAAGATGAAATTTAATTAAACTAATTATTCTTTTGCAACGAGTTGGTCCGTGAGAAATATTTGCAATGAAAGATCGAGGAAGGGACCGACAGAAATTCCAATATTTCGGGAGTTGCGGGAGATTTTCTCTTAACAGTGATTCGTAACGATTTATGAAAAAATTCCTAATGTTCATGAAATCATTCGTAATAAAGAAAGTGTATAGGTGTAACCGAAGAAATTCTTATCGCGACCCTTTTTCATTTTGCAACGACATATGACCGATAATAGTATTAGTGAAAAATAAATTCTGGAAATAATCACACGAGGATTGCTCTGATTTCGTAACGAGACATAACCTAACTTTAATGAAAAATTGCCGATAAATGTATTCCTTGAAAAAGAAATTCTAGAAATAATTCAACGAGAGTGGATGCATTAAATTGTCGCGGCCCCTCAAAGAGGTAATAACCGGGGGAGGTTTTTTGTTTATAACATTTTCGTGGAAACATGAAATAATTTGCCGACAAGTGTAAAGGGGGAATCCACCGTGGTGTTTACGGAGGCTCGCAAACCCCGAAAGCAAAGTCCCGAGTGCCCGTGGAATATCACAGTGTTGCGCACTCGTTTCGTCCGAGCGCGCAATTATCGCGAGTAATTACGGGAACAGGACCTCCGTACTAATTCGAAAGTGCCTTCCGTCGAGTTGGTAATCCTGTTTCTAGCCGTTGTTTGCGGTAAAACTCGGCACAGAAATTCCGATGGGATTTCGGCCCAGAGAGCAATTCCCACGTCTCGAAATTTCGATTTTGCACGGAAGAGAATTCAAAAGCGAGCGCAAATGTTATTTATAAATCGGTTAAGCCCATTCCGTGAAATCCGCCCCCTTTAACAGAAACTAAAAATCCAGAATAAAATATATTTCATTCGAGCGAGCCTCGATTAAATTCATGAAAGAATCCTCATATTGATAATCACCGCCGAGGAGGGAGATACATTTTAATCCGTCATAACCTGCAATATTCATTTAATATATTCTTATTAGTCCCAGGAGAAGTGTTTTCCACTTGGCTCTCCGAATTTCCCCGGGCATTTCGAGTTTTTAATCGCCCTGGCATGTTTTTTCACCTCCGCTGACGCGAATAATCGCGTCGCGCTGATAACCCGTAGGGGTCTATATCGCTGGACCGGGCCGGGGAATATCGCCCCTATCGGGCCAACATGGCGACGCGCAGCCCATTCGGGACAAGTGTCGCCCTGGTAACCTCTCTCGTTAAATCCTGCAGAATCCTGTATATACACCCAGGACTACGACTCGTTCGCCAATCTGCACCACTGTCCGTCCATTCGACGCACATCCGGTGCACGGCGTCGTGCCAATCACTTTTTACACATTTTTTTCCTTTCCCTGTTTTTCCGCGCAACAGCGTAAATGCCTGACATAAAAGTTCCGCTACCCCTTCCGATTACAAATTTTAAGTAAAATTCGATTTCGACGTTTTATCTCAAAATATGAACTGCAGGAAAACTCGTCAGGATTTACGTGTCACGTGTTAAGTACTTCGGACATATCCTGGAGATTTGAACGACGTCGAATTGCAATATTTTATCGTAAGAAAAATAAAAGGAAGAAATAATGAAAATCCACAGATTTCCATTTTAAATATTAGAACCGTGGAATTTTATACGTTTTAAAAACTGAATATGGAAATTGGATTTTTTTTTATTTTAGAGGGTGTTTTTAGTCTTCTTCAAGATGGCCGGGGTCCCTTTCGAATTCCAGGTCCTCCTCCGTCTTCGAAAATTAATTTCGAGCGCGTCAGCGACATCTGTCGTCTCGCAGGCTGTTGCATAGTCCACGTGGCAATTCCAGGCACGAAACTGCAATGGCCGGCTGGTGCGATTCAATTCTCCTTCCTGTCTGCTGACTGGACTCGACACTTCCCGAATTCCAATATTTACGATTTTCCTATACCACTGTAATTTAATAAAAGCCCTAAAAGCTCCTCTTCGTCTCATAAATACTAATCCAACCCCCAAACGCCTCGAAACCCAAAATACAATTCAGTGAAAAAGTATACATAAATCATAATCAATTATCATACTTAAAATTCCAGGAATTTTGGAGGACGCCTCGAAAAGTGTATCGGAGGTAAAGAGTTCAATTTTCAGCATTTCTTGTGATTTTGCTTTTTGGGCGTCGTTATTACTAGGGTAATAAATGTTGTCAGGGGCTTTTTTTAATTTATGCGAAGGTTAGGTTAGGGGCTTGAGTGGAGAAAAAAGGAAGGGAAATCGTATCGATCCCTCTTTCGAAATTCCGTTGGGCGAGGTTCCCTGGAATTGGTAGTTGCACGGAAGGGAAGAGCAACAATGGGAATTGGCGAATCGCGGATTCTCGATTCCTGGCAATTCGCGGTTTACGAGGGCGATACGGAGTTCCGCGAAGTTCGGGAGGAACGACGTCGGCGGCGCTGATGGATCAGGCCATAGAGTCGGTGCAAAAGCGTCGGCGTAACCATAGCCGCTCCGACGACGCGATATACCGCCGGGAACACAGCCCGGCTCTTCGTCTACCGGCGCCATTATTCCGGAAGCCGCAACAGTGGTCTGAGCTGCGCCAACTTTCGCGGGATGTGTATCGCAACAACCGCTTTAGACTCGCCGCTGCCGCAACTTTCCTGCCGTTTAACTGGGACGGATCGCCCGGAATGTCCAGGAATTTTGCGCCTGCCATTATCGAAATTCGAGAAATTTTCCTGGTTTTGAAATTAATCCGCTATTGCATGATATTATCCCTGGGTTCTTTCACAAACGTAGTTTATCTAGGACGGATCACCCGGAATGTCCAGGAATTTTGCGCCTGCCATTTTCAAAATTCGGAAGATTTTCCTGGTTTCGAGATTAATCCTATTTTGCGTAATTTTATCCACGCCCTTCGCTCAAAGATTCATTAACAAAAAAGTGGTGCATTAGAGGGATATCTGATACATCTCTTAATATTATAACTATCCGACATCCACGCGATTCCTGGACTCAGGAAATTCAAAATTCCCCGCGTCGCGTCGAAGTGATAAATCGGAAAGACACTTTAATCCTTCGGCTTTCTTAAACCCTATTGTCATTGTTCATTGTATATTTTCATATCTTATGACATATCCGAGAGGGAAATAAGTCTCGACTCTTCGTGCGTTGAATAACCCCCCCTGATACGACATCCGATAAGGAGGGTTCATATCACTTGGACATGTACACCCCCGCGACACAAAATACGTGTGTAATTCGCCCGACACTTGACATGTCAAGAGTAGTGTATCTGAGACACGCCACTTGTACTTCCTCATACATCCTATGTACGTGCAAAGTATATACATACATACATTAACGTACATTTAGTACCTAGTACAGGTATAACGCGTAATGCACGATACATATGTACATGGTGTATAATAAATGCGAGTACACAGGGGCTTAGGGTGCGTCCTTAGAGAGCAGATCGACACAACGAGATTGCACCCCTGATGGGGGTGGCTTCCACCCCCCCGGGGGGAGGGAGGGGCATTTCGCACCTGCAATTAACGCGGGCGAAATTTCATATCCGCGAAATTACTTCGTTAATGTCAAGCCGAGACGTGTCTCGAGTTCCTCAGAAAAGTCAAATTTCATATTAGAGAAAACCACCCCTCGTATATAAAAATAACATTTTTTTTTTAATTTAAAATGAAGTGAAAAAAAAATTGCTCCTATAACCTTCACTCTCGGGAAGTGAAAATTGAAGGGGAGGTTTCAATTCTGAAGGGAAATAAAAGTGGAAAATGGCGAAGTTTTCGGTGCGCCAGCGAGGAAGGGAGTTTTCGACAAATATTGAAGTAAAAAGGGGTGCGAGGGGGAGGAAGACACGTATTTCTCTTCTCCGGATGGACGGTATTTATTTTCCGCGTCTGACCTCGTAGAAATTCCCTCGTTGGGCATATTTGCTCGTTTACTCCACGTCGCCCTAACAAGCCGAGCAGGCTTTGACAGAAACATAAATTCACCCTGGCGGCCATTATGCGAAGTCCTTCGTATCTGTCCACGCAATTGAGACTTCTGAGCCCAGCCTTTTCCCCTTTGCGAATTAATGTTGAAACCTTACTATTTTGTAGGGTTTTCTTTATATGAATTGCGGCATCTCTTCCCAATGTTTCTCTCGGAAAAGTCCGTTTCCTTGGACCGCGGGATCCATCGTTGACAAACCAACATGGCGGATCTCTAAAATCGTGAGAATTGAAAATCAATGCTAAACTGTTGTAGTCTTATTTTAACTATTTCCATATACACTGTGGAATGATCTATCATTCGCGTTCTCCTTCTTATCTCGCGTCATCCTGACGGAGCGTCATGGTGGATTTTGACGGGAACATAAATCCAGTCTGGCAGCCATTGTGCGGAGTCGCTCGTGTTTCCGCCTTTAGAAATGGCGTTTCCGCGGATCGTGATCTCTTTCCCTCGCCCCGGGTCCTGAATTTCCTCCCTACATCTTCCCTGGAAGACTATAAGCAACATCCAGACATTTAGTCGGGAGTCTCGAAGGAAGAGACGGGAAAATTATCCGCCTACGGCGTCTTAGACTCCTGCGGAAGCGACGACCAAGATGGCGCCCAAGATGGCGCCCAAGATGGCGGCGACTCCTCTTTCTCCAAGTAAAAAAAAAAGAGAGAGAGACCTACAACGACCCTAAACCACGGGATAAACCTCCTTTCCCACGGAACCCGTTAATAAATACCCAAAATTGTCCGTCCCATTGAAAATAATATTTAATCAAGAGTCCGTTAACAATGGCGTTCGCCATTCGTCCGAATGTTCACACGGTACTGCCTTTCATCCTCTATCGGGTGGAGGAAAGGGAAATAATGGAGTGTGTATAAATGAAAAATACACCGAGGAATAATTCGACAATGGGAACTGCTCGAGTATGAAATATTTATTGCAACGTTAGGAGGGAAAGAGGTGGGCGAAGTTCCTAGGCCAT